AAAGCTGAAGATTGGAAACTCGCTGATTAGCCACCGTCTGGACTACCTCTCTCGGGGTTTGGGGAAAAATGTGGTTTTGTGCAAGCACTTTAATCAGCTGGCTACTAAAGGTAAGTTAAATCAGAAGAATTTTTACAAGTAAACTAACTTTTCTACTTTTTGCAGACATTGCAACGCTGTTTCTCACGCCAAGTGCTTTTGAAAGTCCATACCAGCTGGAGCAAGATCCTGAGTCACTGGAAATTGTGCAGCAGTACATGCACTACTTGGCCGGCAATAAAGAGACTGAAAACCCTGGACTGAAGAGTGGCATCAAGGGCGATGTTAATCTGATGGCAACGATGACTGGGCTGTGGAAAGATCTGCTGGAGTCATCGGAGACTTCAAAGTACATTGTTCGGAAGTACCTCGCCACCACCAGCGGCGCCTTCATGGTCTACCCTGGATCAATGCTCGACCAGTCATATGAGCCGAAAAATCGACCCTGGTACAGCAAGGCTATCGCCAATCCCGGCAAACTGATCTTCATGCCGCCGTACCTCGATGTGGGCGGCGCCGGTTACATTGTCACTCTCAGTCAGACAATTCAAACTGCCAAAAGAGGGAAACAGTCGAGTTCAGAAGAAGATGAGGACACTGTTTGGGCGGTAATGTCCATCGACCTGACACTGGGCTACTTTCACAAGATCATCGACGAGATGGTGCCGTTGTGCGCCAGCGGCAGCGGCGGCAAGTCCTCCTGTTTCATCATGGACGACTACGGCTACCTCATTGTGCACTCCTCCTTCCTGCGACCAGGATCACTGGGCTCCAACTCCTTCAGCGAGCGGCAACACATTACCCACAAGGAGCCGCAGATGGTGAATGATCTGCTGAATCAGCGAGGCATCGTGCGCAAGTTTGTCTGCAACAGCTACAACGACCGCACCATTCAGCGGTACTACATGTTCAACGGCAGTCTGGAGGGCATTCTCACCAATGTGGTGCAGCTGGAGGACGGCGCCTCCTCCTGCGCCAAGTACAAGATGGTCACGCTGGACGGGACGAATGCCTTCTTTGGCATTGTCAATCACACCTGCGACAACTCCACCACCTTCTGTCCGTGTTCACTGGTAAGTATATTGGGCAACTCTATTTGTGGCAAAACCTCCACTAACACCTTCCAATGACTTCCACAACAGACTGACCGACTGTGTCTGAACTGCCACCGAATGGAGCAAACGGACTGCGAGTGCCCCTGCGACTGTCCTCTGATCATGGACACCTGCAGCGGTGATCTAATGGAGAAGGAGGACAAGAACCCGAGTTGTATTCCCATGACGGAGCCGCTGCGAGAGCCCAGTCTGCCCAAATACCTTTTTGACTCGCTGGACAGTTGTGTGAACAGTGACTGCTTCAACAAACTTTCGGAGAGCGAGTGCAAAGGCGTGCTCACCTGCGAGTGGTGCTCCGCCGACCTGGGCCACAAGCTGAAGAAGCCCTTCTGTGCGAATCAGAACATTTGCTTTGGAGGCAACTTTGGCTCGAAGAATCCCTTCCTTGCGAGTCACGGCTTCTCCTACCCTGAAGAGCGCCGTCCCGAGTACAGTGCGCCCTTTGGCCCGCTGACCACCGTCATCGTTGTTGCCTTTGTCGTCTTTGTCTGCGCCATCTTCTGCTATCAGGTGGGCTCGACGAGGAACTTTGGCGCCAACAGCTACAGCAACCACGCAGAGCACCAGGCGCTGCAGCAGTCGATGGGCAATGAGGCGGACCACCACAACCACGACAGTGAATTCCACGGCAATGAAGGAGGAAACCTTGAGGCGGTGGTCGCCCTGGTGCGTGCCCAAGTGAATCCCAACTTTGAGAACATTGCTTCGCCATATCAGGTCAACACCAATTACCGGTGAGTGCTGCAAACTAATTAAAAGCATTTGACTGGGACTAACCTTTTTTCCTTCTCTATTACAGACGACCTCGCGTCGAGTCCGACTACGGCTACTCCACCATGACGCCCAATGAGGCGGACTCTGACCTGAATGGCGGCCACTCCATCTACGTGGACACGCCGCTGATCAAGTCGGCCAAGCTGAACCAGCTGGACCTACTCAACATCTCCGCCTCGCCGACGGTAGGCACCGCCTCAGTCACCTCGAATGACGCCATGTCGACGCTGTCTTCGCCGTCGTCCTCTTCCTCCTCGATGGCGGCCGCGTCTTCGTCCAGTCGACTCCCGCCGCCGCCGTCGTCATCAAAGTTGTCCAGCAAGGTTCGCTCTAAGCAGAGGTACAGCTTTGACGAGAGTGGCACCAAAATGGACCGTGCTAAAAGAAACAGCATCAGCATCAGCAGCACACCACTGGCGCCAGTCAAGGAGACCGCCTGCTCTGAACCTCTAAATGAGGGTGAAGTGCGATTAGTCAAATAGTCAAAAAGTGGTACCACTGTTGCCAAAGAAACTGCCTTATAATTGCCAATGATCAAAATACCCGTGCAAAGTATTGTTCCTATCTACTTAGAGTCTTGTCTGTTCAAGTGTTTGACCAGTCTTTTTTCCCCTCTGAACTTCTTGTTCTAGTGTGTTCAAGTTCTTTCTCCCACTCTGTCTCTTCACACCCTTTGCCTTATTTACAAAGCTCTTTTTGAAATGTTTTTACCTACCTGTGAATACCTGATACTTTTGTTCTGTACATAATAATGTCGCTTTTTGCTTGTGATTGTAAAATAAAACTGCTTTTTGAATTGAACTTTAGCGGGCATAAGATTTGAATGAGAAAACAAGTTTGCCAAAACGCTATTGCCACTCGGTCACAGGGCGACACGTTCGCAGAAGACGTACTCGCGGCGACATCAGTACTAGTATCGAAATAGTCGAAAGCACGCTCTTCCGCTTTCTTTCTCTCCCAAACGTGAACCGAGGTATGTTTTTAGTGTTTTGATTGACAACATTCTGGTCATTTTCTCACCGCCACTCCCACCACTGTAGATCTCCACCACGATGAAGATCGAACTGTGCTCGTTCAGCGGCTACAAAATCTACCCCGGCCACGGAAAGCGACTCGTGAAGGTCGATGGCAAGGTGTTTACCTTCATGAACTCGAAATGCGAGGCCTCCCATCTGATGCGGCGCAACCCGCGAAAGACCACCTGGACTGTGCTGTACCGACGAAAGCACAAGAAGGGCATTGAGGTCGAGCAGGCGAAGAAGCGCACCCGCAGGACCACAAAGTTCCAGCGAGCCATCGTCGGCGCGTCGCTGAATGACATCCTCGCCAAGCGGAACATGAAGCCCGAAGTGCGCAAGGCCCAGCGAGAGCAGGCAATCCGTGCCGCCAAGGAGAAGCAACGCGCCACCAAGACGGCGAAGAAGACCGTCGCCGCGCCCAAACCAGCCGCAAAGGGCAAAACCGCCCAGAAGGCCGCCAAGCCCGTGCAGACAAAGGCTCCTCGAGTGGGTGGAAAGCGATAAGCGTCTTTTGTGCTTCAATTCGTTAATATAACAAAATAAAAAAGCCCACATCAACACAATTGTTGTTTCGAGTGTTCCAACTCTTTATTTGTCTGATAATTTGGTAGGAAATCACAACATTTTCACGTAAAGGACAACAGCTCGATGGAGTAGACGCCAATGTTGGTCTCACTGGGCGACAGCAGCGAGCTGACGGTCTTGTCGCCGGTGGTCAGTGCTTCGAAGAGCGTCTTGACCGGTCCCAGGCCTTCGTAGAAGNGACGCCAATGTTGGTCTCACTGGGCGACAGCAGCGAGCTGACGGTCTTGTCGCCGGTGGTCAGTGCTTCGAAGAGCGTCTTGACCGGTCCCAGGCCTTCGTAGAAGTGTATGCTCCGGTTCACCTGCTCGGCGACGCGCTTCAGGGCGGCCCTCAGCTCGTCGCTGGGCTTGATGACGAACTGGCGAAAGTTGGCGTCCAGCAGCGAGGAGATCCAGGTGAGCGGCGAAATGTCGGTGTAGGGCATCTTCGCCAGCAGCCAGTCAATGGCGAGCAGGTGCTGCGCCATGGTGATGCTGCTCCGCTTCAGACAGGCCACCAGGAAGGCCTCATTGTAGGGCAGCTTGGTGAGGTGGCCGAAGAGCACCTCGAAGCCCTTCAGCAGGTTGCTCCGTCCGTTCACCTCGCCCGGGTCGCCCTGCACCTCGAGATAGTTGCGAGTGGTGAAGTTGAACAGCGAGACAATCAGCTCCTCGGGCAGCTCCTCAGTGGGCGGCAGCGGCCTCTTGTTGTTCTTGTTACTGGTGAAGCCGGCGAACATTTTGTTGACCTTCACCAGGTGGTTCACACTTCGAAGCTGCTCCTGCTCGCCCACGCCAATCAGTGCTTTGAACTTGCCGGAGAAGTTGGCCGCCTTCTCCTCTGCATTGATACTGCGGTGCATCAGCTCCGAAAGTCGAACCGTCTGCTTGTCAATGGGCACCAGGACGATGTTGCTTTTGGTGGTGATCAGCACCTTGTCGTGTACGACGGTAAAGTCATTCGCGTAGACCGCCTCGGAGAGGTTAAGCTCGCCAATTTTGGTGCAGTACTTGGTCTCGTAGACCTGCACCTGAAAGAGCGTGTCGCTGTTGTCCGCCAGTTCAGTCAGCACCACCATGGCGCCCTTGCTGCAACTCCCAATGGAGCACACTCTGTAGGAGCCTTCAGCGTCCAGTGTAAAGAGTGGAGTTTGAGCAATGGCAGCACCCGAATCAGTCGGTTCAAGTGAGTAAAAGTGAATTTTATCTTCCCGCTTCGTGGAGCCAATAAAGCCGCCACGAATCTTACTATAGGTGCAGCTATCAATGTCGATATTCAACGGCGCTTTTATCGTCTGTGTTGGTGCTCCTGAAACGAAGGGGAAATTAATTGAAGTGAAAGAAAATGAGCGCTGGACACTTACTGTTGCTAAAAAGTGTCAACTTGTAAACAGTCTTTTGACTGGTCAACTTGTTGTGTGAAATGTAGTACAATTTGGCAGTGGATGAACTTTCAACGTAGTGTTTAATGGCCACTAGCTTTTCATTGGGTCCTAAAACGGGCTCAACGGCACTTTCATCACAGCCCTCCGCCATCAGGTCTTCAAAATGGTCTGCATATCCATTGGAAAAGATGACTATTGGCTGGTATGATTTTTTGTTAGAGGATATAATGGCGGCGATTGGGTTTTTAAACTTTATCCTTTGCTTTGCCACCAGTTCCCGCGAATCAGTGGGAACCCACTGGATGATGGTGTTGCCGCTGTGGAGGCCAATTAGCGTCTCCTTTGGCGCCGGTTTTGAGCCCTTCACCGGGTAGTAGACGGCCATTGGAATGAGCAGTTTGTTGAGCTCATCAAAGGACCAACTGTCCACCGAGGCACGCAAGTCCTCCAAGTCATACTTGGAGACCAGGTTCGCCGATTCGGTGATGAGAATTTGCGTCGACGAGTTGGTCGGTGCGAAGCGGTCCACGAGCGACCGCGTCGCATCGCTGCACTTGGTGGGAAGCTTCTGCACGTCACCGAAGCAATCGTCCATTGAAAATCGTACTGATAAAGATCGTTATCTGATGAAGAATCCGGCAAAAAAGTGTGAATTTATCCAAAAACATTCAAAGGAAAACAAAACGTGGTTTGAGTTCCCCAACTCAAACAGCGTCTGCGCCAGCCACACGTGCACCGAACGTCACGTTGTTTTTGAGCGGAGGCTGCCGAAACATCGAGCAAAAAGGCAGAAAAA